GCAAAGCATGTGAGTTTTTGTCTGAAAAGCTAAACACAGTGAGTGCACAGACGTAACTTAGAAGGGATTCACCTTTGCCGTCCTCACTAAATAATTGGCATTAAACAGCTTCTACCTCAAAACACACACCTTAACTTTTAAGCTTAATTATTAACTGTTGATTTGAGAGAGAAGGGGGGGGAGACGCAGATTTGCTGTCCTGTGTATTTACGCATTTATTTGTTGACTTTTTTTTTTTTTAAACATATCTTTATTGATTTCAGAGAGAGGANGTTTATTTGTTGACTTTTTTTTTTTTTTAAACATATCTTTATTGATTTCAGAGAGAGGAAGGGAGAGGGAGAGTTGAAACATCAATGATGAGAGAATCATTGATTGGCTGTAGCCTGCAACCCGGGCATGTGCCCTGACCGGGAATCGAACCCTGATCGCCTGAATCCTAGGTTGATGCTCAACCGCTGAGCCACGCCCGGCTGGACTATTTGTTGACTCTTACACGTGCCCTGACCAGGGCTCTGGCCGCACCCTGGGGACAGGATGGTCTCCAGCCAGCCGAGCTCCCGGGGGGCTCATGCCTTAACCTCCGACCTTCACTTCAGAACCGAGCCTCAGCGAGTGAGGCTGACTTAATTTTTGAAGCCAGAGCCCGCCCGCCCCGCCGCCCTCCCTGGAGCGCCCAGAGACGCGCCCTCCCAGCCGCCAGCTGTCCTCTGAAGCGGCCTCGGGGGCCTGCCCCTGGTGCCGGGGGGCACCCTGACTATGCCATGGGGCATGCATCTGCCAGCTGAGGCGCCCACAGGGCAGGAGCGGCCCCACGCCCGGGGACGGCTGAAAGGAAGGGACGGCCGGGAGCAGGTCTACTTACAGGCGTGCGGCTGGGAGCTGGGGTCGGGACACTTGCCTTTTCTTTTGCTTTGTTTGCGCTCTTCATCCCTGATTTTTCGCTCTGCTCCCTGGAGGTCAAGACAAGACAAGACACGGTGCTGTTGGTCTGACCCTCCTGACAGCCTAGGCTCTGACCCTGGGCAGCGGCGGTGGGGTGGGGGCCGCGCCTCCCCCGAGACGCGCTCCGTCCCCACCCTGCTCCCGGAGCTCAGCGCAGCTGCTGCTCCTGAAAAGCCTGCTCGCGAACCACCTGCAACCCTGTGGGGGCCCCCTCGACGGTGGACGTGATCAGGGGACAGGGCGGCCGAGACGGTCCGCGGGTGCCCACGCCGCCCTCAGGACACCAGCGACTCCTGTTGCTTAGTAAAGACAATGAAACAACGAACATGGGGCCCACTGTGTGTCTCTCCCGGGGAAGCGTCACCTCTCCGAGGACGGCGCCAGCAGGTGACAAGTGTCCAACTGCAGCTCACGCGCACAGGTGGACCTAGAACACTGCAGTCACTTACAGGAGCAGCGCTCGGTCCCCAGAGAGGACACTCAGGCGGAGGGGGGCCACCTACACCCAGGCGGAGGGGGGCCACCTACACCCAGGCGGAGGGGGGCCACCTACACCCAGGCGGAGGGGGGCCACCTACACCCAGGCGGAGGGGGGCCACCTACACCCAGGCGGAGGGGGGCCACCTACACCCAGGCGGAGGGGGGCCACCTACACCCAGGCGGAGGGGGGCCACCTACACCCAGGCGGAGGGGGGCCACCTACACCCAGGCGGAGGGGGGCCACCTACACCCAGGCGGAGGGGGGCCACCTACACCCAGGCGGAGGGGGGCCACCTACACCCAGGCGGAGGGGGGCCACCTACACCCAGGCGGAGGGGGGCCACCTACACCCAGGCGGAGGGGGGCCACCTACACCCAGGCGGAGGGGGGCCACCTACACCCAGGCGGAGGGGGGCCACCTACACCCAGGCGGAGGGGGGCCACCTACACCCAGGCGGAGGGGGGCCACCTACACCCAGGCGGAGGGGGGCCACCTACACCCAGGCGGAGGGGGGCCATCTACACCCAGGCGGAGGNTCTACACAGAGGGTGAGGGGGCCACCTACACCCAGGCGGAGGGGGGCCACCTACACAGGGCAGTGTGGCCTCACAAAGATGGAAAGAACCGTGTTGGTAACAAACAGGACCTGCGACCAGGCGAGGGGAGAACAACATGCTGTTAATGAACCATCTGGCTTGACTGACTGGCACTGTTTCTGGACGGCGCAGGTTTCTTTAGTGTCATCCAGCTGAGTGAACCAGTGGCTTATCTTCCGTAAGTAAACTCCCGACATCACAGAGGCAGTGAGGGGCACCCGGGGACTCGGCATCATTGCACAGAAACAGCACATCGAACAAAAAACCGCATCCAAGGCCACTCCTGCCTCATGCGGGAGGTGTTACCACACCAACACCTGCTTATAAAAACCGCTATTAACACTGACACCAACGTGGCCTCCCGGACACACACGCAGGCAGATCTCCCCGGCCTCCCCGCCACTGCCGTGGGGCGCCGTCGGGACCTCTCGCCCGCTACCCACCCCGGCTGTGGGCCTTCCTCCCTCACGAGGCTCCTCCTCCAGGCCGCCCCCCGCCGCCTCCTGAACCCCCTGCCTTCCCAGGGCTCTTCCCCTAGACCTGAGTCGCCTGTCATTTGGTGCCTGTCTGTTCATTTCCCTCTGCCGGCTCCTAAACTCGCACGTTCTGTGAATCCGGTCACCTTTCGGTGTCCTTCAGAGTAAATGTATCTACACTGTCTTCCTCTCCCAAGAGCTTTATCAGTATTTTACTCTGAGTTGCTTAACCAGTTCGACAAATAGAATTTTCTCTTATTTCAGAAGCAGCGGCAGTTTAGCACTTCTTCGAGAAACGGGGGACAGAAACTGGACCCCTAACCAGCGGAAATTCGGCGCCTCCCCTCTGGGCGCGTCTTTACCCCGGGTCTGCACAGCAGAGAACTTTCACTGACACTGTTTCCCACAGTCAGCTTCCCTTCGGCAGGGCGACACTCACTGCAGCTGTGACAGACAGGACATTCCTTCCCAGGCAGGGTTTTTATTGAATCCACAACAGCCCCGGGATGAAAACTACAATGTCACCGTCGCGTCCCTGGGGTGCTTGCTCTGACACGACGCTCGTTACCACTCCTACGTGCCACAGGGCTGGAAGCAGGAGGACACCACAACTTCTGCCTCCACGTGGATCTCTGCCCCAGCAGGCGGGGAAAACAGTGCGGGACTGTCAGGGGACTTACAGAGCCACAGCCAGGAAGGCTGAGGGCGCCTGGGCGGAGCCTGCTGGACACGGACGCCACCTTGTCACCGAGGCCCCGCGTGACTGCCTCTCGCCACCGCACAGGGCTCACAGCCAAGTCATGGGAACAGCCACTGAGTTGCCGGGACACCTGACACGCTAAGACCTGGGGCAGCGTGTCCGTTACACGTCACCTACATGAACACACTCAGCGGCGGCGACACCGGCACATGGAATTCCGAGCCGTCCCAAACCCCTCTCAGTTTTGCAACCTTGAAGAAGAGGCACTTTGTTCACAAAACATCAGCACACAGCAGAGGGAACGAGGCTCTAAACCTGATACGACCACTGATGAGCGAAGTAACTGCACCATCCACGAGCTGCCCTGTGTTCAGCTTCTAAGTCGGCTTCCAACACAGGAGCCTCCTTCAAGGAGTCTCGATGCTAAAGCCAGGCTTGTTTGGGAGCATGAACCTGTTCCTTCTCTTCGAAATTGCCTGTACAGTCCTCACCACCCGACACGAAAACTTCAGTTCGTGCCAACTCATGCCGGCACCGCTAACAGTGTGATCGGGGCCAGCGTCAGTCCACGAACTGTACAGTCTGAGGAACAATACACCAGAAATTGGGAAAGCATCTGAGAGGCAAGTAGGAGAATTTTAAGTCTGATGAGTCAGTGATTAAAACCGGGGGCTTGTAGGTTGCACAACTTAGTTTCATGTTTCCAGCGATTCATTTGAATTTTTATTGCATTTTTCATGGCAGATCAGAAATAAAAACGAGGTCCTTCCCCACAGGTAACCCGAGACAGGGCTCCGAGAGCATCACCGTCTACAAAGCCGGCAGGCGGAGGGGCCACCAGGACGGCACAGTCTGGAGTGCGCCCCATGTGTGCCGCCCTGACTCTGTCAGACGTGCCCCCCAAAATGGCATTTTCCCACTAAGACGAGGTGTGTTCCTCCCTATATAATGTGTCTTTTTTTAAAAAATCCTCACCTGAGGATATTTTTTCCGTTGCTTTCTAGAGAGAGTGGAAGGGGGGAGGGGAGAGGACCATCGATGTGAGAGAGACATCGGGCGGCTGCCCCCTGCACACAGCCGAGGGGGCGCCCGGGGCCGGTTATCGAGCCCGGGCCCCTTCAGTCCACGGGCGGACGCTCTAACCACTGAGCGAACCAGCTAGGGCTACCTAATGTGTCCCTAAAACAGCAACTGCTGATGTGTAATCCCTATTTTACACTAACAGCGGTGCATTTACACTGCTCTCCTCCTGAGGAAGACCCTACCTCACACTCCGCTCCGAGCGCCCGCCCCGGCCCGACGGCCTCACCTTGTCGCAGAAGACTTTGATTTGGCAGTAGGCCCGGTGCACAGGCTTGTTGCTCCGGTTGTTGTAACTATAGGTGTCGATCTGAATGTTGAGAGGCAGGCCCTTCACGCCCTTCTGGGAGGAGAAGTCTGTGCTCAGGCAGTTCACAGAGATGAAAACCTGCGAAGAGACGGCTCGTGAGCAACAGGCACCGACGGCCACCGCGGCCCAGCGTGAACAACACTAACGTCCTCGCAGTTACTCAAACTGTTCTAAATGAGCGCGCAGCTTCTCACGGAAAATAAATCTTAAACAATGAAGGGTTCATTTTAAAACCACTTTTGGTCACAGCAGCGGGAGACTCTAAAGGAAAGAGACAGGAGCTCTGAACTGCTGTGTCCTTCCGACGCTCATTTAACGTCACAGTGGACGAGCTTTATTGGTGTCACTCTTGGATGTTACCAGCATGTAGGTTTTCTCTGCAGCTGTCCTATAGCTTAGCACAGGCCCCCTGGGAACCCGCCTGCATGGACGTCTGTCCCGCTCAGGACAACCTGCAGCGCCCGATGTCCGAATATCCCGGGATTTACGAGGTCAGTGAGGGACATTAAGTGGCATGGGGGCCGTTACTCAGCGAGTCCCAGGGAAATCTTCACACGGCGCAGGAGCGAGCTCCGTCTCCCTCCGTTCTCGTGGTTCTGGGTGCTAACCTCTCCGCGCCGGTGTTTTCCGAGCTCCCCTTCAAGACGCGGGTTTAGAATTTATTTCTGACGCGTGAGCACCGCACAGTGGATGCTCCGGGAATTGCAGTTTAAAAACAGGGTGGGCACATTTCACAGACGCGGGACCCTCGCCGCCTTCCTTCAGGCCAGAGCCGACCTGCCCCAGCGCCGCCCCCCGGGGGCTGGACGGACCGGCGGATGGGCGAGTGCAGGGAGGTCAGGAAGGGGGGAGCGGGGACAGGGTGGGGAGGAAGAAAAACTGCAGCCGCAGCGCCTACGTGCTCCAGGGGGCTCGCGAGGCCTGGAAGCAGCTTCCATCCCTCCTCCAGCCCACACGCTGCTTCTGAGCAGGAAGAGCCACGGCACCTAAAGGACAGAGCCTGTCCAAACCCACAGATTTAAAGGGCACCTCTCATCCGTCCCTCACGGGCTCTCCACTCACACCAGTGTCCCGCCGCTCGGCCTCTCTCTGCGCCGGGCCTCCCTCCTCCTGTCCCCTCGCCCCGTCCGGGCCACCCCACAGCTCTCCTCTGCCTCTCCACGTCTCTAAATCCCACCTAACAGAATGTCCCCGCTCACCCCAGACCCGAGTCACGGGCCACAGCGGTGACACCAGTCGCTGAGCAGCGATGCTTCAGGACCTGCGCTGGCAGGTCACACACATGGCCTCGTTCCACCACCACAACCCAGAGGGACAATCCTGTCCTCCTTGTTCACAAGGAAAGAGATTTTTAAATTGTCCCCAAGGTAGGGAGCATGGGACAGGGACTCATAGCCAGGACTTCCCCTCTCCACCCTGCTCCTCTCCTTCCCAAACCAGCCTTCACCCCAGCCGCCTGGGATGGGCACGCCTGTGCTTCCCGGCGGGACTGTAAATCTCAGCACTCGGGCCACGCCCGGCACCGCGTGCCCTTCCCAATCCTGAGCACAGCGCCTGACCCAGGAGGGCCTGTCTCGTCCGCTGTGACTTTCCTTTCTTTTTTTTAAAATATACCTTTATTGATTTCAGAGAGAGGACAGGAGAGGGAGAGAGAGAGAAAGAAACATCAATGATGAGAGAGTCATTGATCAAGCCCGCAACCCGGGCATGTGCCCTGACCGGGAATCGAACCCCGATCGCCTGGATCCTAGGTCGACGCTCAACCGCTGAGCCACGCCCGGCCGGGCTTTCCTTTCCATTTAACCCGTTTTTAGTAAACAAGCAAGCTGATTTAATTTTTAAATACCTAAATCTATATGTACAGGTAACAGTTGGTACACATGAATTTCAAATCCATTTCAGGAACTTAGTGCTTTACATAGTCATATGTTTTTGAAAAACACTTCACATACAATCCATAAATCCGAGTTAAGAAGAGTCTCTGAGTCTATGAGTCTCTGGAACAGACGAAAGAAAAACAGGCAGACAAAGGCAGGCAGACACACAATAGTCTATGTAAACAACGGAGCACATAAGGTAACCAAACACTGTGTTTTTCTTCTTTCCACCAACGGCAAATCGAAGCTTCTCCCTGTCATTCCAGACCCCAGGGCTGAATTCCTAACGCAAAAGCAGCTGCCCGGGAGAGCTGTGCGTCACCCTCCGCGCACGCAGGGAGTGCTGGACCCAAGGCCCCCTTTACAAGTGGACTTCCCGGCAACCCAGCCTAAAACCCAGCATCCCCTTGCTTCCCAGAGTCCAGTTTCTGTTCAGAGCAGAAGCGAGCAGGAGCCAAGTCCCAGGATCAGCATAACCCGAAGCCCTCAGGGCGGCACTGACCTCACCATTACTCACGGTTACTTTGGCTCCAAAACTCAAGAGATTATGAAAACGTGTCTCAATATATGGTTTCCTTTCTTTAAAGATTTCAGATAGTCTTACATGCATTTAGATGTATCCCATCAGATTTTATTTTATTTTATTGATTTTTTAGAGAGCAAGGGAGAGGTAGAGAGAAACATCGAAGGGCTGCCTCCTGCATGCCCCGTACTGGGGATCAAACCCGCAACCCGGGCATGTGCCTCACTGGGAATCAAACCCTGACCTCTTGGTTTCATGGGTTGACGCTCAACCACTGAGCCACACTGGCCGGGCTCAGATTTTGTAATAAAATATTTTTACAGTTATATCTCTATCACATGAGAATATTTAATCAATGGAAAGCTATCTATTAAAGGAAATGCTCACCCTGTTGCTCAGCAAGGCCACACAAATCCTCAAGGATTCATAGTTCATAATACAGTGACCAGGCAAAAAACCTAATAAAGCCCACCAAGCTGTACTGACATTTATTGCTTGGGTGATGTTTGATGTTCGCAGGGGCTGACATTCGTGGGTGGAGCGTGTTCGGGTGAGGGGTGAGGCGTCTCTGAACTACAGCGCAAGCCGGCTGGTGATGCCCCCACTGGGCTGTGAGCTCCCGAGGGCAGAGACAGGGCGCCCAGCCCCGCGTGCTGGCACAGGGCACTGCGTAACTCAGATGCTTTCATTAACAGAAGGAAACTGCAGAGGGAGTAGTGAATAAATGTGGCCAAGAGGAAGCACAATATAGAAAAATAAAACAGCTTTCGTGTATTTATCTAAACCAGGAGTCGGCTACCTTTTTCTGTAAAAGGGCCCAGGAGTAAATATTCCAGCTTTTGTGGGCCACGTGCAACTACTCAACGCTGCAGCAACAGTGCAAAGGCAGCTACAGGCAGTAAGGGAACAAATGGCTGTTTCAATAAAACTTTATACAAACAGGCAGCCGGCTGGCGGGCGAGAGCTGCGACTTGGCGACTCAGTGACCTCACCCATCCTCGAAGCTGCTCGGGCAGCAATCTATCTTTAGGTCACAGTGTGGCAAACGGCAGGAAGTGTTATTTCCCTCTTAGTAATTCAGTGTGTCCACTTTCCACATGAGACTCCCTGCCGACCCGTCCCCCACGCACGGAGCCACGCGCCTCCCGAGAGCGCCCACGCATGGAGGGGACGGCGGTCTCAGGCAGAAGCGCGGCATCCAGGAACCTTCCTGTAGGAAGGTGACAGTCCCTAAGCAGGAGCACGCAAACCAGACGAGAAGGCGCGCAGGGGACACAGGCGCCCACCTCCTGCGGGTCCTGGGCGGCGACAAGACGGGTGTGTCCTGTCCCTCGCGGCGTAAACGTGAGGATTGGTTCCACCTAATGGCTCTCCCCCCACCAATGAGCCGGACAACGGGCCAAGTCACCCAAGTCTGGATAAAACAAATGTTCAGACCGTTCATACCATGCAGAGAAATACCTTGTGTAATGTGGTTCCAGAAAAGCCCCAGCGTCTCCTGAAGAGGGTGGGGAAGAGGTAAAAATGACGGAGCCTGGCTGGTAGCTCAGCTGGTCAGAGCGTCGCCCCGATACACCAAGGTTTGGGGTTCAATCCCCATCGGGGCACATGCAAGAATCCACCAAGGAGGCACAAGCCAGTGGAACAAACTGACGTCTCTCTCTCTTCCCCCTTCCTCTCTCTCTCTAAAAATAAATAAATAAAAATTTAAAAAGTCGGGCCGTTACATATTCAATGGTCTATAAAACGTGTCCCTATGGGCGCAGACGCTCTCAAAGCGCCCCGCTCTAAGTCCGAGGGTAGGAGCCGAGTGTGTCCAGTCCTCTCCTCTCCAGAGCGACGCAAAGGTCCCTGAGACCCCCAAGCCGACGGCCTTTCCTGTTTTCATCCCTTCTCGCCGCTGATTCTGAGGAGAAGTTTGATTTTATTCAAATAATTGTAACATAAACCTCAAAAGATGAGTAACTGATGCTCCCACCCCCGCTCACTAGGAGACAAAGCTCTGACCACACAGTGAACTGCTGGACCGGCCGAAGGCGCTCGGGGGGCCTCGTCAGGGCCCAGCCCATTTTTCTAGGACGGTTCCTCGCTCCGGACGGAGGATTCAGGCACTTACAACTTTTCCAAAGAACAAAAACAAAGATTTACATTATCCAAGGACTAAGCTGTGTAGGCTTTTCAGTCCTAACGCTCACGAGCTCAGAACCAAGAAGAACGAAGGCCTGGAACTAATTTATGATGATTTTCCCGGGAGGCACTACGTCGGCCACGCAGTGCTGTCCACAGCCGGCTGCTCTCCACCTTCACTCAAGGGGAACAAAGGGGGGGGCGAGAGACCGAGGAAGCCGTGTGTTCAAAACACGAGCTGCCGACACAGCGAAAGCAGCTGGGAGCCAATGTGGTCACCTCTCAGGGCGCCCGCCTCTCAGCGCACCCACCTCTCAGGGCGCCCACCTCTCAGGGCGTCCGCCTCTCAGCGCCCCCGCCTCTCAGGGCGCCCACCTCTCAGGGCGCCTCCCTCTCAGGGCGCCTCCCTCTCAGGGCGCCCGCCTCTCAGCGCCCACCTCTCGGCGCGCCCACTCACGCCCCGCGCGGCCCAGTAAACGTGCGTCTCGTCTAGAGTCAGATACGTGAGCTCAGCGAGTGAACCGCATTTGTGGGGAGAAGCCACAGAAGTA